ATTAGTTTTTTTACAGCACTGGATTGAAATGCACTGAGACCAATCATGTCATGTGACATAGTTTTATTTGTCACATGATCACAGTGAGGAACAGCTAGTGTCTTTGGAGGTTATGCCAAAGAAGAATGATGAATCAGCAGATTTCCAGTACTGTTCATGTGCACTAGTGTAAGCAGCGGAACCGCTCAATGCGCGAGGCATGGGCGCTATGGTAGTATGTAGGTACATGTACATGACTTGTACTGGTCTACAGCTATACAGAGTGAGTCGCTATTGTATCACATACATGACATTGACTGTACATCTTCTTAGATCTGTGTTCGGTTTCAGTTCCCGTTATGGCAACGCAGGATTGGATTGAGTCTTTTTCTTCAGATTCTTGGCGTTTTTATCAATTTTTTGTATTGAGATTTTGTGTCATATGCAAGCACATTTGCTTTGCCCGTACAAGAGGCTTTTCATGATCACATACACGTAGCATGCGCGGTGTGCCACACCGCCTCTACTTTTCCAAATCACCGAGTCAACGGATGATAAACCCTGCACTGTGAGTGTTACATACGGTACACGTCCTCTTTAGATAACGGGTGCATTGTAGATCTACATAATCATTGTAGTTTGTACATTCATTGTTGGTTGACAGCATGTTACAAGGCAGAGGACCACTGTGCAGTGTGTTCGGAAACTGTGACCTTACTACAACCGCAAGACCAGGGCTCTGCCAACCGTGGATGGTTGTACATGTACTTCAAGTACTAAGGTCAGTGTTTCCGAACACAAGGACCCTCCACCTCCTTGACCTTGTTTAAACATGTGGTCAACCAACAACATGTTTGAAAAGGAAAAGTAATTAGTTTCCCCACTACCCAACCGCAACGACGTGAGCCATAAAAAAGATGCCGCTATTCGTACTAGGCTCCGGCGGATTATGCTCACGAAATCATGGAATTGTGCTTTCATGGATTCTCGCATTATGCTCGCAAAATCCTCATATTATTACGCTTTGGTACGCGAGGATACATATTCACTTTGGTGTACTTATGGAGCCTCAAAGTTTGGGAAATCGTGCGTTTTTCGTACTTGCAACTCGCCGATAAGTGCAGCCTCGGCCCACAGGACTTCAACTTCCCCTTTGTACCAGCCTCGCTTCCAAAGCCATCTCCTAAGTATTCGCTTCCGCCCTGCTGAGGTCCGTAAATTGTTGAGGGCCCTTGATCCCTCGAAAGCGTCAGGCCCTGATGCAGTTCCGGGCAAAGTCCTCAAAGCCAACGCTGAGCACCTTGCAGTGCCATTATGCTTGCTCTTCCGTCAGTGCATGACATCGGGGACACAACCACAGTATTGGAAAGTGGCAAGTGTCGTCCCAGTCCATAAGAAACGGTCAAAGTCAGCCCCATCGAACTATCGGCCCATTTCCCTCCTGTCGCTCATCTCCAAGACAATGGAAGTTAAGGGGGGACACCACCATTCGCGGCCCAAATCAGACCGCATACAATTGAAATAGGCATATCATGAAAACGGATTGGCAGATTGCATTCAAATTTTCTATGTTCAATCACTATATACTGCTCCACAATGTAGGCACCAAAAAGAGAATTTACAGTTCATCCCAGTAATGCTTGATGGGCTACACAAATTCTTCACAGGTGCGCACAAACAGCAATTTTTTTGGACAACTTTGCAGCAAGATGTATCAACATAGACAGTTCCAAAATGCAGCAAAACCCAGTCCATATGCCTATGCAGGGAATGAACTACAATGAACTCTATCTGACAGGTATTACTACCCCAAATGCAGAGACAAAACAGGACGAGCCGCAAAACGCGTAAAATAGAAGGCACTGTGGGAGCTCAAAATCCAATGTAAAAGGTCCTATGATCACCATTGTAGTTCAATCCCTGCGCAACAAGTCACTGATTCCAAAAATGTATGGGTTGATAGGTCTAAAATAAACACACTAGCCGCAATCATGTCCAAGAAGGCAGAAAAAGGCCAAAAAGCACAAACATTTAGGTGTCCTTTTCATAGATTCTAAGACTATTGTTCCAACTAAAACCCACCAGCCTCGTATGTGACACCCTCAGCTTCCACAATCTGCTCCTCAATTCCCTTCTTGCACCTCCTCCTTTGTTTCCTTCGCTGTTTTTCCTCCTGCTTCATCTTCTTCTCAGCCTTGGCCACTCTAATACTATCCAACATGAGCTGGCGTTCTGCAAAAAACGCCAAGTGCGGTTGCAGAGAGGGATATGGCCCGACTTCCACTTCTCATACTCGTCAGCTGTGACTTCACTATGCGCCTGGCGAGCTTTCCACAAGCTGAAGCCATGGCAGTACTTGGAAGCTAGATGCACATCAAGGACCTTCCCGACTTGCCAGTCAATTGCCGTAAACGCACCGTGTAGGGAGGAAAACCCGCGCTTCATTCACGTACCATCATAGGTGACAGCAGTTATATGCTTAGGCCTGTCCATTGTCTTGTTCATCTGCTGCTTCGTTCATGCTGATTTGCGCAACTGACCTTGCCGCCTTGCACAATGCTCGCTGGTGCCGCTGGAATGCAGATAGCTGAACAGGTGGGGCAAATTCATGAGGCCGCAAAAAATTTGCCAGCTAACATGGCCAATTCCCAGCGTGCGCAATGCCAGAACACTGCGGCGATTGCACTCATAAAACTGTCCTGACTTCTCCACCACTGGCAGGCTGGTGCCTGCTGAACACTGGCTCTTCATTGCAGCATGTGATTCTGACAGTGGATGCAAGGCCAGAACGTGCAGTTTCAGCAATAGTCAGCTCACCTCCACAGTATTTTACACGAGCAAGCAGAGAAAATCAAATTTCGTAAACAATTCAAGTCCAGTGGCGTCTGAATCACAACTTTCAGCGATTGGGCCATGACAGTCTTCAGAGAACGAGGAATCACTTGAGGGAGCAACTGTCTGAGTTCGAGGCCAGCGCACATCCATCAAAGCTCTCCTCCGAATCCGACTCACTATCGCTCAGTTGAATCCATTAATTTTTTATTATGATCACTGTATTCTTATTTTTGGAACGCCATCGTACAACTTGCGCTTCGAGGCGGACTCTGGCACTGCTTCAGCTTCATAAACTCCCTCAGCAGCTTCCTGGACAGGTGCTGCGTGCAGTGAGAATCTTCTCTTTGCAGGACGCTTGCACGACCTGCTCTTCTTGTTCCCCATTGTGCATCGCGCTCGAAACTGCAACAGCAAAGAAGTCTTTTGGGAAAGAATTTTTTGCACTTTTTTTGCACGTGGCACGGGTCACTGCTGCCATGGCAACAAAATTTGGAAGTAAAAGCGCTTCAAAACTCCCAAACTCCACGGCCACAATCTTGACAGATCGTGGTGCACGAGCATCGCGATGTGTACAATTTTTTTCAACTTTTTAGTGTACGAACATCGATGTGTACACATTTTTCAAATATTTTCAAATTTCAAACGGTCATATGACTGCAACGGTTGGTCCGAATCGCTTCAAATTTGGAATACTGACACCTCAGGGCATATGCTTTGATTTCCAATAGCAAAAAGGTGACAAATCGAAAGTTGATTTTTTGACCCCTGGAAGGTGGTGTCCCACCTTAAGCGTGCTCTCACCAACTTTCTCGAAGGAAATAATATACTCTCAAACCACCAGTTCGGTTTTCGCCGAGGGTTAGCTGGTTAGGGCCTGCTGACCTCCTGACAGGACTACACCACCAGTGGAGCAAGATAGCAGCTGCTAGCGGTGCTGTACAAATTATTGCCGTTGACATTGCGGGGGCCTTCGACAAAGTCTCCCACGCAAGTGTCCTTTACAAGGCAAAGGCTTACGGAGTATCCGGGAACCTCCTCAAGTGGCTCCACAGCTACCTGGCCGATAGACGAATCCAGGCCGTTGTGAGTGGCCAAACCTCACCTGAATTCCGAATCAGCTCAGGTGTGTCGCAAGGGAGCATATTAGGCCCCACTCAACCGAGTTGCCCGTTAGAATCTGCGAAGTAAAATAAACAACAACAACTCTGTTCCTCCTATATGTCAATGACATGGAGGACCACCTTCCTGCCACAACCCAGCTCGCCATATATGCAGATGATGCTACGCTGTATCAGTGCATCCCGTCCCTGACTGCTCTCCCAGTTGGCCTAGAGCAGCTCCAGACTGCTGTGGATGCCCTAGCCGAATGGGGCCAGAGCTGAGATCACATTCGAGCCGACAAAGTCGCAAGTCTTGACGATTTCACATCACCGTCAACCCTGGCCGATTCCTCCAGCCACTTTCAATAGGGTGGCCATAGAGGAAGTGGAGGAGCTGAAGTTGCTTGGAGTGCTCTTCGATCGGAGCCTCTCCTTTCGCTCCCACATTCGACAGGTTGCAGTCTCTCTCTCACTCTCTCTCTCTCTCTCTCTCTCTCTCTCTCCCCGACTCTCTCTCTCTCTCTCTCTCTCACTTGATCTCCCTCCCTAGCTGCATTCCTATCGATGCCTGGTCGAGACCTCCGGTCGGATGCCGGGATGAGCCTCGCCAACCACATTGGCACATCGCCCCATAGGCCATACTCCCCTTTGTCTTGTTGTCCAGTGTCATTTCAGTTGTCCTCTTCCCCTGATTATTACTATTAGTAGGGCTGTGTTTGCTAGTAAAAAAAATTAATGTCACATTGTGTTGAAATAATACAACAAAATTAATGTTACAGCATTGGGCAACAAATGTTACCAGGTTACGGTACGTAACGCCGTAGCTCTACGACTATACTATTGTATACTATGCTGTAGCAGCTATACCGCTACATGTATACCGTATCAAGAGTCCATAACCCATGGCCTATGCCTATGGCTATGGACTCTTGATGCATGGTATCCAGCAGGGAGTCGTAAAATACGTATTTTACGACTCCCTGGTATCCAGCGCATTATACGCATGCGATTGTGACGTAACGCTGTACAAGTAAAAAAAAGAGGGAAATCGATAAAAAAAGCCACAAAACAGAGAATATTGAAAGATTGAAATCCATTTGGAAATCTTGCTGCATCGTATTGGATGGAAGAAACATGAACTTATCCCCTGAGTTGAAGAGAGGGTTTCACCTCCTTCGCGATGGTGATGTTGAGAGGCTTGTGGCTGAGCTGGGCTATCTGGGTGATAATGGCCAAGCTTTGCGTCCGTTTTTGCCATTTTTAGTGAGGGTTGCTTTGATGCAAAACCCAGAATGCAGTTCAAGCGAAGATGCAAGTCGAGTACAATTTTCAATCTTGGCTGCTATTGGTGAACTGGAAGCGGTGAATAGCATTGTGGCTTCGTTGTCGTTCGATCGCGACGATATGAGGCGTGACGTAGAGAAAGAAAAGCTTATGCGCTCTAAACAAATCTCTTCTGGTGGTCTACCCGATCAAGATAGTCACCTGATTCAGGGACTAAAACAACCCATTGAAGTGGAGTTCGAGCAGGCACATCCCACAAGAAAGCTCAGGTTGTTTATGTGTGAGCTCCTGCGATTAGTCTCTGTGGTAAGTTACGAATTTCTGTGTGAAAATGCGTAAAGACAATATTCATTGTTCAAATGTTACGCTTGATGTTACCTGTGAAAATTGGGTGTTTAAATTTGGCAAATGAATTCAAAAAAAGGGGAAGTTAAGGCAAAAATCAAAATTTCACCAGTTGTAGTCTTCGGGGTGCTGAGTCGAATGGTCTTGGTCCGAGAAAGCTGAGACGCTCCCTTCCTACTTGAATCCCAATCGAACTCGCGCACTTCCAACCGCACAGTCTCCAACAATGTCACAGTGATAATACTGGAATGCAGCTGTGCACAGTCATACAGTCATATAAACCATAAGAGTGCTCCACGTGCGTGACTTCCACTTCCGCATCATTCTTTTTTCTTCTCTCTGTTCTCTAATCATGAAATCTGAGTTAAATTCCAATTTGAGTGTGTTACCGGTATGCAACTTTCTTGACTTTTTCTTGGTGCATGGGCCACGCGTACTCATCCGGCGGATATGTGTGAATAATAATAATAATCGATTATAATCGTTAGCAAATAGTGTCAGAATTTTGTGCAAAAATTACCTGTTTCTGAAAGCTAGGCCTTCATAATACCAAAAATTTGCATTAGTGACAGGGTAGCTCAGAAACATGGCAGTTATAAGCGGTCGTCCGTAAATTTCGAACTTTTTTCACAAAACGAAATAATTTCGTTATGGGGTAGGAGGGTTTGACCAATTTCGTTTCAGAAAACATTGATTCATGCACATGGCCGTTGTATATGCATGTATGTCAACATTTTTTACGTTCTGAGGGGGAGTGAAGGAGGGGTTGGGTCTAAACTAAAATAATTCGTTTGGTGAAAAAAGTTCGATATTTACGGACGGCCCCTAAGTCAATTTAACCTCAGAATATGCACCATGCCCCTGGCAACTGCATACGCACAGTGAAAACTGATTCAAACTTCACAAAAACGAGGGTGTTCAGTACTTTTTGGGCTCAAAATCCTTAGCGAGTAATCTTTAACGTAACGATTACTTGATTGATAAGGAATTATCAATCGCTTACCAAGTAATTGGTATAATCGTTTCAGCCCTAGTCATAATGTTACATCAACAAAAACAACAAAATTGCGCAGATGCGCTAGATGATGAATAGCAGGTGAATACAGCGGTTGTCAGTTGACAACCCCCTTTTCTTTCTATAATGCAATTGCATGGTGTCCAGAATTTCTTAGTGTGGATACAATGTGGAGAATTCCTTGTTTGTCTTGATTTGTTTGTCTTGATTTGTTTGTCTTGATTTGTTTGTCTTGATTTGTTTGTCTTGATTTGTTTGTCTTGATTTGTTTGTCTTGATTTGTTTGTCTTGATTTGTCCTCAGGCTAACAGTCACAATGGGATTTGGTACCCAATTTCGAATGCTTTGTTTGACTGCCCGCTGTACTTCCAACATGTGATTGATCTCTTGCATCTGGCTCTCACTGGTACGTTCACAGTCTTGTGCAGAAGTGGTCAATAGACACTAGCAGGGATGAATTTACTGTCATATTTTTGCATAGCAGTTTCTGCTATACGAAATCACAATTGTGTAGCAGTCTTTGATTTTGATTAGCATTTTTCTGTGAAGGTTGGGTGTTTACCACATTTCCTTCTTGAGAGTGATGCCTGAAAGCCCATTTGCAAAAAAACCGACTGAAGCATACACGTGCACGCAGATTGAAAGGACCTGCAACACATACACTGTACTGTATGCATGTTACTTGACAGCACAGGCTAGGCATGGATAGCCTGTATGCACCGGAATTTTCTGCGAGTGACGGTGACTTTTGAGTAGCAGTAGATCGATTTTGCATCGCAAATTGCGATGCGATACAGGATAAATTCATCACTGAGCTAGATCTTTGTCAGAAAAAGGTTTTCGTATGAAATGCCTTCAGGCCCCATTCTTAGTGGAAATAGCAGAAAACACAATAGGGTCCTTCAACACCCTTCCGGGTCTACGGGATTCTACGGGATTCTACGGGATTTCGTGGATCTGTACAAATGGCAAGTGGTCCATTGATGATTCTGTTTAAAAATAAAGCCCCCTCTCGAATAGAGCCCTCTCTCAAATGTAGCCTTCCTCAACGTGTCTTCTGGAAAAATATAGCTCCAGGGCTTCTATTCATGCCTATTCTACTATTCCACAAGAAAATTCATTCAAGAGAATTCACAACACAAGCGCTCAGACTCAAGTCAGAGTAGAGTATACCATGGTCTACCGCGCGTAGTCTAGTCGTTGTCTGCAACACATTACAAAGTGTATGCATTCAAGTCGAGAGATCTAGTCGCGCGCGTGCGCGGACTTCGCCCGCCCGCGAATATTCGAATTTTCGAACCTACGGCCTAGATTTTATCCGATCGATTATTCGCTGAGGTCTAAGAGATCGAGGAAATTCGAATAATCGATTATTCGTTACATCACTAATACTGTAGTGGACACGTCTGTACCCGTGCTTGGTTGCCACTGCTCTTCTTTGTCGGTGTTCAATAGGACAAGTAGCGTGGTGCTGGATGTTTGAAATCAACCTCCATTTCCCCTCCCTGCGTATACTATATTGGTGTGCGTGCATGTGTGTTTCCACTTTGTTTATTGGTGCATGTATGCTGGTGGGACTCTGTGTACTGTCTATACACATTTGCTTTTTCTTTGTGTGTTGTGTTGTGTTGGTGCTACAGAGCTGCATTCGCTAGTGTCCTGTGCTGAAGTGACCAGTGTCTTGTTGCGTCTTGAGCATGGCTGTGAGATGTTGGTTCAGTTGGCTGCTGGGCTTCCACACTTTCAGCGCACATGTAAGACCACTGGCCTGTGTGTCCTTCCCTGCCCTTTGTTCAATATTAGTGTTTCTTCTTCTTTGTGGCATGTTCTCTTAGCTGAATCGTCACTGACATTACATAGTTTGCAGTGAGTGTGCACCATGGCACAGCTTGATCATCTTTCTGGATCTCGTGTTGTGATGTCAGGGATGAATTTACTGTCATATTTTTGCATAGCAGTTTCTGCTATACGAAATCACAATTGTGTAGCAGTCTTTGATTTTGATTAGCATTTTTCTGTGAAGGTTGGGTGTTTACCACATTTCCTTCTTGAGAGTGATGCCTGAAAGCCCATTTGCAAAAAAACCGACTGAAGCATACACGTGCACGCAGATTGAAAGGACCTGCAACACATACACTGTACTGTATGCATGTTACTTGACAGCACAGGCTAGGCATGGATAGCCTGTATGTACCGGAATTTTCTGCGAGTGACGGTGACTTTTGAGTAGCAGTAGATCGATTTTGCATCGCAAATTGCGATGCGATACAGGATAAATTCATCCCTGGATGTGATTGTCAATTTGTCATGCTTTTTCAGTGCTGGCAAGCCTGTTGATCTATTGTTTCTATCTGTTGCTTTTGCTTCTGCTGCTTCTGCTGCTGCTGCTGCTGCTGCTGCTTCTGCTGCTGCTGTTGTGGTTGTTGTTGTTGTTGTTGTTGTTGTTGTTGTTGTTGTTGTTGTTGTTGTTGTTGTTGTTGTTGTTGTTGTTGTTGTTTTAGTTTTGGATACTGTAGTTGAGTACGCATTTCGCGGCGGCGTGCCGGAAGTATCACAATCCTGGCGTGCCTGTAACCAGGCCATGCAGGCACTGTGCCAGATGGATGCACCCCAGGCTGCTCTGCGCATTCGTGATCTGTGTGTGAAGACCGGCGGACCAGCCTGCTGTATGCTACTGCTTACTGATGAGCTGGCTAAGCACTCGCAAGGTAAACCCTCCGCCCATGTCCTGTTGTCTTGTTCTCACGTTTCTTCTACTTCGAAGTCACGAACCCTGCTCATAGTCTCTATGTGCAGAAGGTTTCACTAGAACGAAAACTGTTCTCCGGGAAACCTTGGTACTTTGTACAGGCAGACATGTACATGTACTCAACTTGTACCTTTTTTTTACGGGGTAACGGCCTCTTTTACGGGCAAAATAAAGTCATGTAGACGTGAAAAAATTTGAGATACCATGAAAGTTAAAATAGAATTTTATTCAAGTACAATACATTGGGAAACTCCAAGAAATTCCACGTAAAACAGACGGAATTCAGTTTTCAATGGCCGATAACTACCCCAGCACCATCCTGCGTCGACAGGCCTGTCAGGCGCCTTCTAGACCCGCGTAGCCGGAGGTCGACTGCATGGATCACTGCAAATTGGCTGCGAACTCGCACCCAAGCCATGATGATTGAAAATGGCTTGTCCCACTTGAGGGCGAGGCGACCAGCAAGTCGCTTCTGATAGCTGGCGTATTCGCGATGTAGCACCCCATCCGTGGAACAAACCAGTGGTGTGAACGACCCACGGAGGTCCTCGGAGGCCTGACGATACTTCTTTTTCTTCGCGTTAGCAGCGCGGTTGGAAGTAGCTTCCCAAGATGAATGGGAGTAACTGGGTGCGTTGGCATCAATGATGCGATTATCAAAAAACGCCACCCTGTTATCCTCCCACACACCCCGGGCAAGCCAATCTGAAGAGCAGGCTGCCTCGTTCGATCACCCTCCGGTACCATGATCGGCTCGATGACAACACCACCGAATGCCATATCAGCTAGCTTTGCATCACTATCACGCAGATCATTGTGGCCTCGCTTGATAAGTCCACCTTTCGGGCAGTCAAGGCCATGCTGGAGAGAGAAAGGCTTCCCGCAACCATCACATTGCGCTGGCAGGGCAAGCGGCTGCCGACCATAGCGGATGGCAAGTTGATCGCGGAATTCTGTACTCGACAGATCATACCCCTCGCGCTTCAGGGGCAACACCGTAAGCCATCCGGAGGCATTTCCCCGTACGATGCGGGAGAGGGTGCGCTCCTCAAGCTGTGGCAGGTCACTGAGAATTGATTGGCTGATTTCAGCGGAAATCACATCTCGTTCCCTGCTGATTTGGCTTGTGATGCGGCGACAGTGAGCGCTGTGATCATTTACGTTTACGGGGTTACCAGATTGGATTGAGTTGCGCAGGATGTCAGTAGCATTTCTCGAATTCTGGTAAGCCTGGGGTGCTGTGTGGACAGGATCGGCCAAAGCCAAGCCACCATACTTGACTGGCAGGGTGAGGAGCTGGTGTTCCCGAGGAAGAACCTCCCGCCCAAGGATGGCTGGGGCAAATTGCTCCAGGATGACGTCTCGAAGCGGAGCAAACTCCTCCTCAAGACCCTGGACAACTTGGTACTTTGTACAGGCAGACATGTACATGTACTTAACTTGTACCTTGGTACTTTGTACAGGCGAACATGTACATGTAGTTAACTTGTGCAAGTTGATGTGTCTTTCTGCACGGAGAACAAAATAAGAGCATGGATGGTAACACCCCTGTGTACAATACAATGGAAGGCTGTGTACCAACTGGTATGTACAGTCAGTATCGCCTATAACGTTGGTGTTTGATTTTGAGCATTTTATCACTATAGCCGGTATATTACTACAATGTATAGCTGCCAACCTTATAGGCGATTCCAAGAGTGCATAAACAATTAGTTTATGGACTCTTGGCGATACTGACTGTACATGTGTGTACATGTGCAAGCTTTCACTGGTGATGATGATGGATTTGGCAAGTGGTGCTTTTGTGCATGTGTTGTGCATGTGTTGTGCATGTGTTGTGCATGTGTTGTGCATGTGTTGTGCATGTGTTGTGCATGTGTTGTGCATGTGTTGTGCATGTGTTGTGCATGTGTTGTGCATGTGTTGTGCATGTGTTGTGCATGTGTTGTGCATGTGTTGTGCATGTGTTGTGCATGTGTTGTGCATGTGTTGTGCATGTGTTGTGCATGTGTTGTGCATGTGTTGTGGGGTTGGGGGCTGCCAGTACTGTATGTGTGACTTTGTCAATCCTATGTTGATGATGGCTGGGCTGCTGACAACCTCTTTACTACAGGCTGTGTGCAGGTTGCCTTTCTGTTACTTGGTGTACGATCACTTGTGAAGCTCTTCTCTACTCTGGGCGACTAGCACAATGCCCTAGTGTGTAGTGTGTAGTCGGCGCCATGGTTGACACCTTCTTGCCACATGGTGTACTGTAGCTTACTCACAGCAGCAGCAGCTGACAATTCCTACACTATTGCATTCACATAAAACCCCTGTGTCAGTCCAGTCTGGCCTTTTTACCTCTTCCTGCTGTTGGTTGTACTGATAATGTGCTCTGAAGTAGAGCTGCATCACGCTGTCATGTTTGTTTTTGGATCCTGGCACAACGTAGTGTGTTCATCCTTCCCTGTGCTGTTTTTCAAGACTACAAGTCTACTGTTGTGTTTTACTGTTGTATTGTAATGTACTGTTGTTCTGTACTGTCGGTGCTCGTTGTTTGAAATTGCATAGGGGTAGGCTGTGGGTTTTCTCTCCTTTCTGCTGATGCCAGCGTTCATGTTGTGCCTTAGGGTGTTGTGTGTACTGGTGGTTTACCCCTGTGTGTATAATTGTTTTTATGTACTGGTGGTTTACCCCTGTGCGTGTAATTGTTTTTTTGTACTGGTGGTTTACCCCTGTGCGTGTAATTGTTTTTATGTACTGGTGGTTTACCCCTGTGTGTGTAATTGTTTTTATGTGTTTCCTGCAGTGTCTGTAGTAGTAGCTGTTACCGGTACCTTTGCCTCATGTGTGTTTGTGAACGTTGACAATGTTGATGTGTATACAGATAGCGTTAATCTTCTTGCAGGCGGTGGCAGTGGTGTGTGGCTCGACTTCATCACTAGTTTGCTCCTGCATGAGAAGTCGGCTGCTAAGGACGCACTCATACAATACGTCAGCAGCTCGCAGAAGAAGGTGAGAATGCATTAGCTGTGAATGTCTTTGTAAAGTCTATTAAGTATTGAGTGTGTGCGTGCGTGTGTTGCATGTGTGTGCATGGTGTGTGTGTGTGTGTGTGTGTGTATAAGTTGCTATGTGTAACATAGCTGTTCGCTATCATCGCTTCCGCGATGGGCAGGTCTGAGGTCTGAGGTGTGTGTATGACTCTGTGTTAACTCATGCAAATTGAGTGGGACTGCTGATTGTGGTTCGTTTTGGCTTGGTGTGGTGCTGGTCATCTCAGTGCCAGTACTGCAGTAGTGGCAACCAACAAGGGCACATGCCATGGAGTCTACCACGTATCACTGTATGCCATGGCACAGTTAGAGTGAGACTGTATGCCATGGCACAGTTAGAGTGAGACTGTATGCCATGGCACAGTTAGAGTGAGACTGTATGCCATGGCACAGTTAGAGTGAGACTGTATGCCATGGCACAGTTAGAGTGAGACTGTATGCCATGGCACAGTTAGAGTGAGACTGTATGCCATGGCACAGTTAGAGTGAGACTGTATGCCATGGCACAGTTAGAGTGAGACTGTATGCCATGGCACAGTTAGAGTGAGACTGTATGCCATGGCACAGTTAGAGTGAGACTGT